CCTGGGCTACAGCGGGGCCATGGGCTATGTGGTTTTCCCATCGAGAGCGGCACTGGGCTGGCTCCTGCTCAGTTAAACGCGTGTTTGGAGCTCTGAGCTTTTACTATTCTTGCCCATGAAATGAGATGAAGAGTAGCTTTTCAGTGATATTTCTAAAATTAGCTATGGTTTGGCTTATTTAAGAGCCAGAAAGCCTAAATTAGGGATATGCAGCTTAACGTGTACATTTTAACATGACACTGGAGCAAAATGAGCTCGATGCTGAGCTGTTTTGAAAACCTCAACTTGAGCATTGCTGCCGTTCAAAGTGGGGCAGATCCTTCCTTCCCATTCGCGGCGTGCCTGATCCAAAGCACAGCACCATCCGCCAGCCAGCCGCGCTGCCTGACGACTGCTAACAGCTTTCGGAGCAACGACAGAAGACACCGACCACTACAAAGGCAGTGGAACAGCCCCGACGCTGATCCACAGGGTACCTCCGCAGTGAGGAGCGCGGAGCACGTGCGGTTACGGCAAAGGCACGGGCTGCCCTTCTTTCCCATCAAAGCAGAACGTGGTAGCTTGGTGGTACAATAGGTTGCAGCTCCGTTACTCAGATTTTCCATCAGTTCAGATGGGAAACAAGACATTGCACCAGTTAGAAGAGCTGGCCGTCCCCGTGTCCCTTCCACATTTGCACTTGCCTCACTCAAAAACCTTCCTCCTACTCTTTAAAGTCATAAAAAGTTGCTGGGGAAGCATGCTCAGGAGGGAGGCAAGACAAAAGCTTCTGCGAGAGGCTATTCATCCCCCTCCCGCTTCCTCCCTTTGGGAGCTTGTTACGGGAACCCATCTCCCAGAGTGAGCCAACCAAGGGAAGAAGGAAATGTTCCATGGAGAACTGGAGAAACAGAGAAGACTCCTTCAGTGTTGATTCCCAGTTTAAACACCGCAGCTGCTAATGGTCGCAGTCCTTGGCCATGGCTGCAGCTCCCGGTCTTTACCAGCTGCGCTGTGGCTGCCGCACGCCTCTTCGCTGTGAGATCGTACCTTGTTTATAGAAATCTGTATGCCAGAGAAACGGTATCGATTCCTCTTTTTTACAAGGTCTAGATTTAGCTCCTGCAAATCAGCTGCAGCACGTGAACCTTGAAGAGGCTTTCAAAGCCAGAACTTATCAGCTGACAATGCCTTATGCCACAAAATTAACCCCATGTAATGTTTTCTGCCGAGCGGCCTGATTTAACACGAGGGCAGTTGGCTTGATGTCCTCTCAGCAGGTCCCCTGGGAGGATGTGGGGTGGTGCTGGTTGGGGCACCGGGGCAAAGCATCTTGCTGCGTCTCCTCCCCGACGCTGTGTTTCAGTACAGCTCAGAGTGGTGGTGATGGAGCCACTGGTTGCCCACTCACCCAAAATAATGCAGTGGGTGCTCAGCATCACGCCCCAACCCCAAATCATCCCAAGTCACCTCCCAACCTTTGGCAGCCGTGGTGGGACATGAAAGGGCTCTGGGGACAGCTTTGTCTCACCTCTCCCAGCACGGCCCCTTGAGAGCAGGTTGGGGAATGAGCTGTGCAGCCACGACCTCGCTACAGAAATGAAGAGGCGCATTTACAGCAACACCAGAATGGCATTTCCAGAGGGGACAAAGCAGCAGAATGGGTTTTGCAAGCCTAGAGGGCCCTGCTTCCCTCTCAGATTTGCTAAACTGCGACTCTCCCACGTGCCCACCTCCCCAGTGAGCAGTACCTGCTCAGGTCCCCGTGTGCCTTGTGCCGGCAGCCAGCGCCACTCTGGGCGGGGACACACACCAACCCCACGGTGCATCACCCTATGGGCATCAATCACACACACCGACCCCACGGTGCATCACCCTATGGGCATCAATCACACACACCAACCCCACGGTGCATCACCCTATGGGCATCAATCACACACACCGACCCCACGGTGCATCACCCTATGGGCATTAATCACACACACCGACTCCACACTGCAATTACCCTACGGGCATTAATCAGCCCCCATCAACCTGGCTGAAAATAATTAAAAATAAAAAAAAAAAAAAAAAGGACTGTGAGGGAAGAAGCTCCCACTTCGAAGCCAAGAAGTGACTTTAATAACTAGAGGTAATTGGATGAGCAAAAAGAAAAGGCGGTTGCATTAATTATTAAGAAAGACTAATTGTTGGCAAGGCAAAATTAGGAGACCTCGGCACTCGTGCATGGGTGTCTGATTGCGATGGAAGCTCGAGGCTGGGTAGAAAACTCCCCTCTCGCTGAGCACGCACAAACCCAGCAGGTCTTTCGCGGGAGGATCACCCTCCCGACCAGAGCTGCCGCGTAATTCGGCTCCGAGGTGCCTGACGGGGCTCAGCACCCTCTGACACTGCTGCCG